CCGCCGCCCCGCGGGACCCCCCGCAGGCCCTTTTCCCGCCGCGGCGAGGAGCGCCCTGACGGGGACAGAGAGCGGCGAGGGCAGATCCCGCCAAAAGCTGGGGCGCTCGGGGGCCCCCGCCGGCAGCCGGGGCGCCGGGGGCAGGGGGTGCAGGGGAGGAGGGCCCGTGGGCCCGGCCTAGCAGGAAAAGGGACCTACTCTTCTCCAGTCGGGTTTTGGCGACCCCGCGGCCGCGCGGTGGGTAGAGACGGACAGGCGGGTTCTGCAGGAGCGCGAACGGCTTCGCACGTCGCAACGGTACCAGAAATTAACTTTTAAGGAACGATTTCCGCGTGAAAGCAAAGTTCTCTGTTCGAGTCCGTTTTGTAGTTTTACTGTCCATCTTCTGACGTTTCAGAAATTCTGTCTATCGATTTCAGGAGATCGGCGACGAGCTGCAGCGATTCCGCTCCGGAGAGCAGCTGCCTGGAAGGTGGAGAGAGACAGCGTTAGGCTGGGGCGGGAGCAGCCCGCAGCGGCGTCGGCCCGTGCAATGTGATTTTTCAAGCAGTTTCTCTGGACTGAAACCTTCGCTTCTTGAAGTGAAGTACAAGACACTTAAGAGAAGTAAAGTACAAGAGAATTAGTCTAAGTACAACGGTTTTACATTAAGTACAAAAAATAAGACTTACACATTCTAGTTATTTTTATTACCTGAAGTTGGAAGAAAATACAAGGCCGCTGGTCATGGACTAGCTGATCTGGCTTACGGAATACAAGAACCTGACTTTCAACCCTTAAAAAAAAACCCACTGGGGACATTTAGCTGCGACCTCAGTATTAGACAAGCGCCTGGGATAGCCTGAGGAAAGCCTTCCTAAACCAACTCACTTTATTGAAGAGCGGGAGTTTGTTATGACCGTGAGAAGGTTTTGTAAGGCAACGTCCGCGTTTTGTTTCACCACGGCCAGGCTCGCCGACTGGCCCGACCTCAGGGCTTCATTCTCCGTCTTGTAATTCTTCAGCTGAACCTAGGGAGGGAACAGACAAGAACTTTCCATGAAAATAACCACAGAACTCCAGTAGATGCTTTACAACTAAAGCAACTAATGAATACACGATACAGCCGTTCATTTGGTACAACAACTAACGAATAGATCCCATATCCAGACTGCCTGGAGAGAATGTCTTCCCAGCTCCAGAGAGCAGTCTCTGACAGAAACCAACAACTTGGAAGCCTTTATTAAAACTGAAAACGCACGCAGCATTTTCCTGACAGCCAGCAGCCTTCAGTTCTGCTTGTTTCACTGAACCAATCCTGTGTTACAGAGTGCTGTATTCCAACTCCGACAGTGGGGATGGAAGCTGTTTCCTACCACCAATGTTACCACCTACCACTACCAGGCTCTGCTGAGCTACCCGTAATATTTTGTGAGGTTCTTTCCCTTCTCCGTCAGGCACCTTCCCGTTACGGCATTCATAGGTCCCAAATATCACACAGCATTTGAACACGACATGAAACTTTGGCGTAATTGTAAGTGAAGTACCACACGTCGCAGAGACGAAGGTAACTGTCTGCGTAGAGCTGAAATGTTCTAGTCTAGAACATCTCCTACAGCACTCGCTAGGAAAAGTGAGGCGTAGTTAAAAACTACCAATATCCTTTTTATGGGCTCAATTTCAAGGCGTACGTGCTCAGCCCCAGTACGTTCAGCAAGGCGTTAAGAATACTGCTTCGTACCTGAAGTAACGCGTTTTCCTGCTTCAGTTTTGTAGCGTTGTTTTCTGCTTTAACAGCCCGTTTCTGAAACGGAATAAAGATTATTTATACCAGAGCAGTGCTTAAGACACAGCAGGCAGTTTGAGCTACATAGGAATGCACAATTCCAGTATGTAGCTTGAAGCGATACCGTTTGTGTTACACCACCTCTTGCTCTGAACATTTTACGAGATGGGGATAGTGCCCCTTGTCATGGCTGATCAGCTGTTTCCTCCCCTCCCCATTTTTCCTTTCAGACATCCTCAGGTGCAGTCCACCACCTCCAGCCGTTATTTTTTTTTTCGTGGACAAGAGGAAAAGGTACTCAGCATAATAAGCAAGCAGGAAAAATGGCTCCTAGGTCATACAGGAGGTGTTCTCAGAAGGCTGCAAAAAAGCAGTTGAAGGCGTTGATGAACCCGAAAATGGTGTTTCTGCAAAGACCTCCCTTACTTTAGGTAATGAAAGGAGCTCTAGACTGGACACAGTCTTGTTTTAAGGGAAGAACCTGAGCCCATGTCAGAGCTGTTTAGTGCTCGCATGGGTGAAGCAATCACTTCAGCTTCCCTCGCTCTCCTGGGGGAGGAAGGAAAAGGAACAGAGCTACACAGTTCCAACTGCGAACAAGCTTCTGCTACTACGGCAAACGCCAACACTTACAGTCATCAGCTGGAGATTTTGTTCCACGTGCTGCACCATTGCTTCCAAATCCTGCGCTTCTTTTTCTTCTTTAATTTTGTTTTCCTCGAGCTTTCTTTCAAGCTTCCTCATCCTTAAAAAACAAAGAGACAATGTTCAGTAAGCACTCGTAGCATTAAATACCTGAGGAAGAAAATTCTAGGGAAGGATCAAGAAAGTCATTCTTTCACATTACAAGAAAAATGAAGTCTTCCCACAGGACACTTCTAGGCTGTTGCTCTTTGTTCAACGGCTCTTAGCATTAATGGGGACTATACAGCTGAATGCAGAAAGGCCCTACAGAAAACAGGGCCGTTCACAATCATCTAGAGAAGGGTAATTCTGAAACAAATGGTTACCCCATCACCGTGGAAGTTGCCGCACTGCGAGGAGCAGCAGAGTAGAGGATTCAGATGGGAACTTAAGAAATCGCCACCCGAGATGGGTCGCCAGACTGTTTAACTGTTTAACCTCAGGAAATTCAAGTCTCCCAATATCAAGTTGCTCACCAGCAATAATAAAAATGCTTTTCTTGAGTCAAAGGAGAGAGACTGAGATTCATTATTTTGTTAATCTGAAGTCTCATGAAATGCATCCTGTCAAGCCCTACCCTCATTTTCACTAACCACCTAAACTGCATGAAGCACAAGCCACACAAGCACACTCATCGGATGTCAGCTTGCTACTTACTTTCCAAGCCTTTTTCAATAAGAAAACCAGGTTTGTTAAAGCTTTCTAATACATAGCATAGATTTCAACTACATTTTTCTTCTTTAAAGACGTTGACTGTTTCCAGCGAGCACCTCTTCTAAGACAACTCCTTGCTTACGTGGTTACTTTCCCCCATACTGTGGCTTACGCACTTGTCTGCTTGAGTTTCAGTGAAAATCTGAAGCTTATTGATCTTGCTTCTCAAACTGGCGTTCTCTTCTTTTAGCTAAAAAATAAAAATTCTCGTTAGAAATGAGGGTGTAGTTTCACAACACTACTAACACTCCAAGACCAGTATCAGAAGAAATATTCAGCTTTAGTGCTGTAAAGTTTTGCGCTTTCTATTACATTCAAGCTTACTTTTGCAGTTAGTTTTCCCCTCTCAAAACCATTTAACTTCACTAACCCTGCAGGGCACAGAAATGTGGCACCAAGCAACCAGTGCAGATGTGACTAATCAAATGCTGTTAATTCTAAATTAACATGACCTCAAGAGGAAGAGCATGAGGAAGTCACCTGGGTCATGCCAAAAGCAGTAGGACAGACAAGGTACTGACTCTGGCTCATGCTGTACAGCAGTTTTTCAGACCTATTTCTCTTTTGCAAGCATCTCTAACAAGCTGCCCACGTATCGCGCAGCCCTTGCTGGCAGCATGCTTTAATAACACTGGAGGCTGACACCAAGTTTCTGTAACAACCTGACAGAGGAGCTTAGAGCTCACTTGACAGAAGACAGAGCCCACAGGCGGCGTTGGTGTCCGCTCTGGGAAAGGTGCCGGGAGGTCGGCCCGGGTGCTTACCTCCTCGTAGCTGGGCTGCCGCAGGGGGTGAAATCCCGGCCCCGGGGGGGCTCCGAGGGAGGCCGCGCTCGGGTCCTCGCTGCCTGCCAGCCCCGCAGCCTCGCAGAAGAAGGAGCCGGCGGAGGGCGAGGCGGGGCCCGCGGCGGCGAGATGGGCCTGCTCCACGGCCAAGGGCTGGTAGCTCCCGCACCATTCCTCCTCCTCCTCCTCCGCGTCTCCGGGCGGCACCGGATCCGGGAATAAGAGGGGGCCGAGGCTCGGGCCGGGCCGCGCCGCCTGCGGAGGGGGGGGCAGAGCAGGGGGGCTAAGGGGGGCG